AGCCTGGGGTTTTGATCCAAATCGCCTGGGTTCAAATCCTAACTCTGCCACTTATTAGCATTGAGCTCTCAACAAATGTTACTAGAGGAATATAACCTGTAGACTAGTTGGTGGAAAGAATAAAAGATGAAATAAAAGTTAGAACTGAACAGAGAGGCTCTGGAATACTATATAGTGCTTTCTGGAATTTCAAACATTAAGAAAATCAAGTGCTTTTTTCACATTTCCCCCTTTCTATTTTCTATCTGGGAATAGTAAAAATAGAGTATATACATTTAAATCCTTAAGGGTTGTCCTGCACATGAAAAACTAAACAAATATTTCAGGTAACATTTTTATTGAAAATCTAAATGAAGCCATAAAAGGCAGTCTAAAGTTTCAGGTATCCACATCATTATGTGCATAAAAGTGGATGCATGTGGATGGATGTGTGTGAATGTATTCTTGAAATTATGTAAATGAGCCTTACCTCAAAGACCAAGATAAAAGGAAATAAAGGAAACCAAGGATATAAAAAAAGACATAATATTTAAAAACTAGTAAAAACAGCCCATAGTTAGTTTGACTCAGTGGATAGAGCATGAACCTGTGGACTAAAGGGTTCCAGGTTCCATTCTGGTTGAGGGCTCATGCCTGGGTTGCAGGGTTGGTCCCCTGTAGGGGGGATGCAGGAGGCAGCTGATCAATGATTCTCTCTCATCATTGATGTTTCTCTCTCTCTCCTTCTCCCTTCCTCTCTGAAATCAATAAAAATATATTAAAAAAAAACACACAAAAAAACCTACTGAAAACACAAAGTACTATTATACAAAAACTAGAGGCCCAGTGCATGAAAATTCATGCACTGAATGGGGGCGGGGGTTCCTCAGTCCGGCCTGCCCCCTCTCACAGTCTGGGAGCCCTCAGGGGCGGGAGGCGACCTGGTGATCAGGGGAAGGCGATGCCCCCATCACACTGCTGCTGCCACTGCCGGCAGCAAAAGCCTTGGCCGGCCTTGCTTGCCTGAGCTTCAGTTAGTGGGGGGTGCAGGAGGACCCTAGCCCCCCGGTGGGGTGAGGGGACTCCAGTGGCAGGTGTGCAGAGCAGCTGGCCCCGCCCCTGCTGTGGGTGCTGCCAGCTTGTGAGGGCATGATGGTCAATTTGCATATTACCTTTTTAATTATATAGGATAGAAGAAAGTGAACCAAGTACATTTTAGTTTACTATAACAAGATTTGGCCCACAGCAATTTAATGAATATCCTATATAATAAAAGAGAAACATGCAAATTAGCTGTCACTCGGCTACACTCAAGCCATGCCCACAAGCCACGCCCACCAGCCAATCCGAGTGACTATGCAAATTATCCAACAAATATGGCAGTTAATTTGCATATGCAGGTGTCAAGCTCCCCAGGAGGCGACAGTGGCCGTTGCTGCAGGCTCCTGGGGCTTTCGCCAGCCCCAGGAGGTGAGGCCGTAGCCACGCCCACGGGCTCCCGTGACTTTTGCTGGTCGGGGAGACGTGGCCACCAGCGCCTAGCCATGCCCACGGACTCCCGGGACCTTGCCGGTGGAGAGCGGGAGGTTTGGAGGACTTTGCAGAGCAGGAGACCACTGGACATAGAGCAGAGCGAGAGAGAGGGCGGCTTGGAGGGCTCGGCTCCTCTGTCACTCCAGCTTCCTCATCACAGCTGTGGAAACTGACAGCAGGGAGGAGGAAGTCCCACCCCCATAGAATCAGCCTTTGGTCAGACAGCTCTCAGCGGCCTGATAGCCAGGACTGTCATTCACCTGCATCTCAGACCATGACAGTAGAGAGGTGGGACTATGTCTAAAGAACAACTGTTGATACAATGTAGCTCTGCAGCCGAAAGATGCCGGCGGTATCGACAGAAAGTGTCTGCAGAGCAAGGTGCGTCTGATCTCGAAAGAAGGCGGTGCCTGCGAAAGGATGTATCTGAATACCAGCTACAGGAAAAATGTCGCTCTGATGCTGAAAAACACCGGCGTTATCGACAGAAAATGTCTAAAGACCAACGTGCCTTTAAAGTTGAAAGAAGGCGGTGGCGACGACAGAATATGTCGAGAGAACAGTCATCAACAAGTACTACCAATACTGGTAGGAACTGCCTTCTCAGTGAAAATGGAGTACATGAGGATGCAATCCTCGGACATAGTTGTGGTGGAATGACTATTCGATGTGAATTTTGCCTATCACTAAATTTCTCGTATGAAAAACCATCTGATGGGAAATTTACTCGATGTTGTAGCAAAGGGAAAATCTGTCCAAATGATATACATTTTCCAGATTACCGGCATATTTAAAAAGATTAATGACAAATGAAGATTCTGACAGTAAAAATTTCATGGAAAATATTCGTTCCATAAATAGTTCTTTTGCTTTTGCTTCCATGGGTGCAAATATTGCATCACCATCAGGATATGGGCCATACTGTTTTAGGATACACGGACAAGTTTTTCACCGTACTGGAACTTTACGTCCTTCGGATGGTTTCTCGGAAGTTTGCTCAACTCTATATTTTGGATACAGCCAAAGCTACAAGTAAAAGATTAGCAATGCCAGAAAACCAGGGCTGCTCAGAAAGGCTCATGATCAGCATCAACAACCTCATGCATGAAATAAATGAATTAACAAAATTGAACAAGATGCTCCATGAGGTAGAAAAGGAAGCCCAATCTGAAGCAGCAGCAAAAGGTATTGCTCCCACAAAAGTAACAATGGCGATTAAATACGATCGTAACAGTGACCCAAGTAGATATAATTCTCCCCGTGTAACCAAGGTTGCTGTCATATTCAGAAATGAAGATGGAGACCCTCCTTTTGAAAGGGACTTGCTCATTCATTGTAAACCAGATCCCAATAATCCAAATGCCACTAAAAGGCAACAAATCAATATCCTGTTTCCTACATTAGATGCGATGACATACCCTATTCTTTTTCCACATGGTGAAAAAGGCTGGGGAACAGATATGCATTAAGACTCGGAGACAACAGTGTAATCTACAATAATACTAGACAAAATGTAAGGACAGGAGTCACACAAATGCAGTATTATGGATTTCATCTCTCTGTGTGGGACACGTTCAATCCTATTTTAAATGCAGGAAAATTAACTCAACAGTTTATCGTGGATTCATATTAAAAAATGAAGGCCAATCGGATAATTTCATCAAAGCAAACCAATCTAAGTTGAGAGTTGAAAAATATATTTGTTTGATGGATTATCTCAAATCTAGATCTGAAAAGGACAATGTGCCGATTGGTAAAATGATAATACTTCCATCATCTTTTGAGGGTAGTCCCAGAAATAGGCTGCAGCGATATCAGGATGCTATGGCAATTGTAACGAAGTATGGCAAGCCCGATTTATTCATAACCATGACATGCAAACCCAAATGGGCAGATATTGCAAACAATTTACAATGCTGGCAAAAAGTTGAAAACAGACCTTACTTGGTAGCCAGAGTTTTTAATATTAATCTGAATGCTTTTTAAAATTATATCTGTAAATTCCATTTATTTGGCAAAGTAATAGCTAAAATTCATGTCATTGAATTTCAGAAACGTGGACTGCCTCACACTCACATATTATTGATATTAGATAGTGAGTCCAAATTACGTTTCTCTAATTAATTCCCTTTCAATGTGCATGAATTTCGTGCACCGGGCTACTAGTCAAGTATAAAATTAATAAATGAATTTAATAGAAATGTAATTTCAGTGCAATTACTGCTAAAAATAGTGTGAAAAGTACTAATACAATTGGATTTTGATATTTTACTTATGATTTGGATTTCCAATGCTCAAATATCTCTAAAAATTCAAAGAATATACGCCAAATTGTAGACTAGCACAATTGGATAATCAACTTTGAAGTATAGAATTTCCAGAAAAACAAAGTATCACTAATACCTAGTGAATGATTAAATAAAACTTACTAGATATCAGTGATACTTTGGTAAAACAAATGATATGTACTCAAAGCAAAGCACCATATAGTTTATTTAAATGGGCATCTTACATACATTTTTTTCTTTATTGACAACCCTTAGTTAAAACATAGGCTTTGGAGATGTAAACAAGAGTGGTAAGATGAAATGCCTTAATGTAACTTTCAGATATGAAAATGGCAACAACACAATTTAAATATATTATGTCTCTGCTTTGTTAAAAATAGACAACGCAGATGCAATTTGAAAATTCTGAAGGTGGAGGGCCTCCTAGATCTAGATAGGATTTGTTTTAGAGACTTGGTACTCTTTGGTAGCATCTCTATAATTCTTGCAGTGTTGGGGAGGATAATGTAAGAATATCTGTTCCAGTGTCCTTCTCTCCTACCCACTCCCCTTCTGAAAGGGTCCTTCATAGAGCCAGATATTCAAGCAAAGTATCCTCCATGTAACAGAAACTATGAGAATGGTTGATCATACCTATAATCTTTCTGCCATCAATAACATAACCTTCATACATTTCATTTTCATTTTTTGGGGATATAATTTTCATTGCCATAACATCCAATCTGTTTTCATACTTAACTAGGCACAGTTGATCATTTATTCATTCCATTTTTTATAATCACCATGGGTACCCAGACTAAATCCTCTTTTAGTATCTATAGGCAAGGCAAGTTGATGTTTAATATTTTTATGATGATCAAGAGTATCACATATAATTATGCAAAAAGGCAACTTGGCTTTGACGCATTTCATTTTCAGACAACCTTCATTTAATGGCAGAAGGAGAATAGTCTCCAAGTCCAATTTACTACACTATATCAATCTTACCCTTACTCATAATAATAATGTAAAAATGTTCCTAGGATAATTATAGAGCAATAGAAAATTTCCTTTGCTGATAACAAATAAAATTAAACAAAAATATTTTGCCAACTTAGACTGCTGTAATTTATTCAAAATCTGTATTTTTACGTTGAAGTTTGAACTGCTTTAATATTACCTGTAAGCACATGTTTTAAGATTCCCCCATATATTACTTACTTGTTTAAGCTTCTTTAGATCTTCATCAAGTTCTAAGTTGTCCAAAATAACAGCAACAAACAAACTCAGGAGGATCTATAAAATGGTTAAATAACAATGAAAAAACCCACATGCTGTAAGTATCAAAATATTATCTATATATGATATAAAATATCTGCCTAAAATATACACCATATAGAATGCATTAAATGAAAATAAACATGTAGTTGTGAATCACTGCATAGGTATTTTAAAGAATTTATCCCAAATACATTGAAGGAAATAAGCAATATAAATATGAATTTGCTTATGAAGCCAATTTAAAATGGAAATTAAGTAAAAGTTTTTTTATATATAACTCAATGATCCCACTTCTGAGACCATATCCAAAGAAAATAATCTGAAGTACTCATGGCATTTTTATTTGCAAGAATGCTTGATAGAGTTGTTTATAAAAATGAAATATTGGAAATAATATCTAACCTTAGATAAACAGTTAATACAATTAATAGAGATCTCTATTATAGGATTCATGCAGCCATTAAAAATTTTTATTGTGGTAACTAGTCTTGCAGAAGTCCCCCTGGTGTTCACACTTTTGTGAGTCTTTGTTGTCACACACTTGTGAGTCCCCACCACGATGAATATGGCTGGTATGTGTAAGCAACAGGAAATGGAAATGAGCGTTTGTGATAAGAGACATTGTGGGTTTTACCTTGCTCTCTCACCCACTCTGGTAGAAGCCAAGTGCCGAGTCATGAAGACACTTAAGGGGCCCTATGGAGAGGCCCATGTGGTGATGAGCTGAGGCTTCTTGCCTACAGCCACAAGTGACTCATCTTAGAAGTGGATACTCCAGCCGCACTGAAGCCTGCAGGCCCCGCCAACATCTGGACTAGAAACTCATCTGACACTCTGAATTAGAAACACCAGCTAAACCTGTCTCAGATTTCTGGCCTGCAGAAACTGCATGAGATAATAAATGTGTATTGTGGTGGAAGCTCTTAAGTTGTTCATGATTTGTTATATAGCAATAGACAACTAATGCACTCATAAATTTTTATTAGTGTTTAAAAAATGCTTATACTACAATACTAGATAAGAGTATATATGGTGGAAGTACAACCGTGTACAAAAAGAAATAGAGAAAAGGCTAGAAGGTTCTTTAGAGATGTTCTTTAGAGATGCCTTTGTGAAAAGTGAATTTTTTCCCTTTTCTTTGTATTACACCATATTTTCCAAATTAAAAAAAAAGGCATATACTTCTTTTGGAATGGGTAAATAAGGTAAAAGAAAGAAAACAACAAAAATGCACAATTTTAAAAATATTTTAATTTCTAGTCCTTTTTCAACTTGGACTTCTAAAATTCCACATTCATTTGATAATCTTTTTTATTCCTAATTTATATTCTTCCTTTCAATTTCCCTCTTAACAAATTATTTCCACATATGTTTTTGTTTGTTTGTTTGTTAATCCTCACTGAAAGATATATTTTCCATTGATTTTTAGAGAGAGTAGAAGGGAGGGAGGGGGAGAGAGAGAGGGACAGAGAGAGACAGAGAAGTATTGATGTGAGAGAGACACATTGATTGGTTGTCTCCCAAATTCACCCTGACCAGGCTGGGGATGGAACCTATAATCCATGTATGGGCCCTTGACCTGGAATTGAGCTTGCACCACAGTGGCCAAGGCTCCACTTATTAATATTAGACAGTTAAGCATGAAGGTAAGAAAGTTAAGGCAACTTAGTCATCACGACTTTTAAGTATTAGAGAGGTTATTATGTATAAGTTAATGGCTAACTCTTTTCCAAGTTTAATCTACACGAATAAAATACAAACATGCAAACTGACTGTACCTTCACTATGCCTTAAGGCATGCCCACCAACCAATCAGAGCAACTATATGCAAATTAACCCAACCAAGATGGCGGCCGGCAGCCATGGAGCTGGAGCAAGCAGGAGGCTTGGTTGCCTCAATGATGGAGGAAGCCAAGCTTCTCGCTTGCCGCAGCGGCTCTAAGCTCCACTCAAAGCAACAAAGTTTCAATTATAGAAGGTAAATAAACCCAATACCTGCTTTCAGCCGGCTGTGGCCACGGAGCTGGAGCCTTGGGTTGCCCCTGGTGATGGAGGAAGCCAAGCCCTGGATGGCTCTGAGCTCCACTCTAGGCTATAAAGTTTCAATTATAGAAGGTAAATAAATCCCAGGAAAAAAAGAAAAAAAGGAGAGGCTGGGAGTTTCCGTCGCCGAGGAGGCTTGCTCAGCCTGAAAATGGCCCTCAGCCCCTCACCCAGACTGGCCAGGCACCCCAGTGGGGACCCCCCACCCTAAAGGGGGTGTGGCCAGCCTGAAAACAGCCATCAGCCCCTCACCCAGGGTGGCCAGGCACCCCAGTGGGGACCTCCACCTGAAGGGGTGTGACCAGCTGCAAACAGCCATCAGCCCCTCACCCAGGATGGCCAGGCATCCCAGTGGGGACCCCCACCTGAAGGGGTGTGACCAGCTGCAAACAGCCATCAGCCCCTCACCCAGGCTGGTCAGGCACCCAGTGGCACCCCAGTGGGGACCCCAACCCTGAAGGGCAAACCAGCCGGCCCCCATCCCTGCACCAGGCCTCTATCCTATATAATAAAAGGGTAATATGCAAACTCACCCTAATAGCAGAAAGACTGGGAATGACTGGTCACTATGACACACACTGACCACCAGGGGGCAGACGCTCAATGCAGGAGCTGCCCCCTGGTGGTCAGTGCACTCCCACAGGGGGAGCTCTGCTCAGCCACAAGCCAGGCTGACGGCTGCCAGTACAGCGGTGGTGGTGGGAGCCACTCCTGCCTCCTCAGCAGCGCTAAGGATGTCAGACTGCAGCTTAGGCCTGCTCCCCGCTGGCAAGTGGACATCCCCCGAGGGCTCCCGGGCTACCAGAGGGATGTCTGATTGCCAGCTTAGGCCCAATCACACGGGGAGCGGGCCTAAGCCAGCAGGTGGTCATCCCCCGAGGGGTCCCAGACTGCGAGAGGGCACAGGCTGGGCTGAGGGACACCCACCCCCCCGATTGCACAAATTTTTGTGCACCGGGCCTCTAGTGAAAATATAACAAGGATAAAGAAGCCTCTAAAACATTATTACATTTTGACAGGATATGCTTGGCTTGGGACAAGTACCAGTACCCTTCCTTTTCATCGCATGTCCTTTGGGATTTTACCAGAACTTAAAGAAGATACAGAATAGATTTTTACTGATCTTCCCATGTCTGCCACACTATGGGCATCTGGGCACAGATACATTCAGGCTTACTCTAAACCAGCCATTATACTCTAAACTGGACATTATATAGTTCACTCCAAGTTTAGCTCCCTTCCCATGACCTTGATGTTTATCTTGATGTTGTCATGACAAGTAACAGCAGAGGAGGAGTCTACCTTTCTTGCCAACCTCGCCCAAGATTCGGAGATGTCCACCTCAAGGTCTTTTGGGAGTATGACTGTCTCACACCACTTCTATCATTCATTGGCACTTGGGCAGACTCTGTGTTCTAATTTAACCAATTTTCCTATCTTTCCAGTGAAAGGACAAAAAAAAAAATCTAAAAAATAAAAAAATTCCCTGATGAAAAAAGGGAAAGCAACTGCCTCCCCTTTCAGAGCACTTCCTTAGAAACCTTTGTCCTTGTAAATTCTTCTGTCTCTTTGAGATGTATACACATCTTTTTTAAAGTTCTAAACAAGCCTCTTCTGTTTTACAACCCAGGAATAGCACCCCTAGTGGGTGTGTAATTTAGTTACTTGGCCCCACCTCTTACAAAACTACCCAACTTGTCATGGAGAAGTTGGATTTTTCCTTTGGATAAAGGCAATTAGCTACCGCAGATGACCACCCCAATTACCGGGAACTGTACTTGACAAATGGTTCTGCAGAGTCTTTTTACTTGAGGACTGCTGTTTCCATCTTGAGAACATGGATGTAATGTGGTAATGTGGGGATATGTATAAAAGGGTGAGTTACTTTGCAATCTCTTAGCGGGTTGCCTGTGATGCCCATAGCAGCCTGGTTTAGTGCTCATCCAATAATAGAATTGTTTTCTTTCTCATCTGCTTAGGTGGAGAGATTTTCCGGATTGGCAGATTTTATTTTTAATTATTTCCCCAACACCAGGCAGATGGCAGGCTACTTAAGGACAGTGAGGTTAGGCTATTCGATTAAATTCTACAGGCATTTGATTGGACTCCGCTGATGTGCCAGACGTTGCCTGGCCAGGAAAATAAACGCAATATTGCACTCACCATGATGAAGTTCACAATTGAATTAAGTGGACGTAGGCTGGAAGCCTGGTAGAAAAGAGCACTGTGGTTGGGGACCTCGGTTAGCAGGTAGGCTCTACCAGCCACAAGCTGTGTGGCTCAACAAATTGCAGCTACTGTATTTTCACTTAACTCTCACCAGCAATACTGGTGTATGGTATAGCCCATGTAAAACTATGCGGACATAAACTTAGATATTGGAAACTAAAATAATTTTCTTGCTATTACTACAAAAGAACTTAATTTAGTCCATTAGCCCTCCATTTGCACTGAGAGCTGAAAACTGAATCTTGCTAGATCCCATTTCGTCCTGTAAAACTCAGTTACATTGGAATAAATGCTCCTTTTCGATCTAGTGCTGATTTAAAGTCAAGGATGTGATTGTCATCAGCACCTGGTCTGCTGTGGCCATGTGGCCTTTCCTCTGTCACACTTCAGGGGAAGCCATGGCGCTTGTTTTGGGGACTCTGGGCTTTCTCGCTGCTGAATTAGTCACTACCTCAGCTCCTACAGCCCTTGCTAAGATCTCTGATTCATAGTGACACTCCGTGTTAGTTTTAGTTTCCTCAGGCTCCTGTAACAAATTGCACAAGCTTGGTGGACTGAAACAACATCTTCTTTGACAGTTCTGGAGGCCAGAAGTCCAAAATCGAGTTGTCAGCTGGACGTGCTCCCTGCAAAAGCTGCAGGGGAGGATCCTTCTTGGCCTCTTCCAGCTTCTGGTGGCTCCAGGTGTCCTTGGATTGTGGCTGCATCACTCCAATCTCTGCCCCTGTCTTAATGTGGCCTTC